GATCCATGTCCTCTCCAAAATCTACCAGGAATTTCGTCAGATGCTATCCAACCATACCTATCGCCAAATAGGTCCCCAACACTCGGGGGCTGTTTCGACATATCCGTTTTCGCGGAAGGCTCGTTGTTCATTCTATATATATATATATATACATACATACATATATATATATATATGCCCGTTATGAAGAGGACTGAAAGGAATTGGTATGAACAAGGGTTTGTGATGCCGCGCCACACAATTGGACATCCCCCCTCATCCAACCTCTCAGATGTCCCACCAAGTGTGGAAACGGAAAATGGGAAGTCCCTGATTTCGCCACGATGCTCTTCAGGGATCGTCTGATGGGTTCTTCTGTTGGGTATGACTTTGATAGGGAACCTTCTCAACAACAGTGGTTGGTTTACATTAATCGGCAACTGAATGATGTCCACCAAAGGGTGCCGAAGCAAAAAAGACATGCCTATAGGTAGAGCGCAACAGCGTGAGGCGCGCACCCGAGAGGCATGAAGAAGTGCAAAGACCTGAGCTGTCAGCCTGCCTGGCTGATTTTTATCTGGATCAATGGGGGTCGACGTGGGCTACGTTCTCCCACATGGATCTGTCTTCTTTTAGGGCACACCTTTTTGGGGTTGGTTTACCGGGAAACCTATAGCTAAAGGAAACACGTGGTGTTTAAATTGGTACAAAGGTGGCATCCTTTCAATGACCCTGTTAAACCACTGGTTCAAACATCCACGTTTGAAGCCTGCCCGTTGTGTACCCGAACTCTGATGCAAAGCTTCCGCTGGTCCTTCGGTTCTGGGCTCCCTAGCCGGGCGTCCCCAATTTTTCTGTTCATGAAGAAAAGCTCAGGGCATGAAGATCCCCGAAAACGCCCGAACAGAACACTGTCCAGCCTCAACCCGGACCTTTGGCAGAGCTGACACAGATCACACATGGAGAGCTGACGAAATGGCAAGACATATGTTAAGGGGCAATATCGGATTTTTGGCCGACCGCTTCGATACCATGAGGTTCTTCTCCTACCGAGTCTTGTGACGTGGTCTTCCAACCACTAGTTGCGACACCCTGGGCTGTTCCCACTGGAGGGTTGGCTCACTATAGAGGGAACCAACGGCAAAATATGTAATTCATGACGTTTGTGGTTGATATACTTGTCCCATTGAGGGAATCAACCATACCAGCCGGTGATTTCAATGTCTGCATCAAGAACGGTAAATCCTTCCTGGCGATTCTTCGCAAGGACAACTTGGTGTCGATATTGAAGGCGAACTTGTTGGTTACTTTTGACTTTGTCCGCTTCTTCCTTCGTGTTTGATTCATTTTCAGGTTGGTCCTTGGGGAGAGACACTCCCGACCGACCAAAATCTCTCTTGGGCTGCCACCAGGAGCTTCAGGAAAGCTCCCGAGCCTGAGAGATTTTGCCATCCGGAGATCGGGGGAACCTCTTCCTGGGATCGGGGCAACAATCTTCTGCGGCTTTTTGACAACAGCCCCAAAAGTGGACGGTTCTATAAAGAGTTGGGCGCTTCAAGCCTCGACCATGTTGACAGGTCATTGCGCAAGAGCCGCACCCAATCCCGAATTCGGAAACCTCCCGCATGGGAAACAGGACCGCAAGCAAAGATTCTTGGAAGCTCCCAGGAATGGTTCAATTTGTGTCTCCTGACCACGAGTCTTGCTCTCGGGCTCCCCTATGATTCAATGACTTTCTTCAGGACAAAGAGAACGCCCACACGATAAATACCCGGAACGTTGTGAATCAGGGGCCAACATCCCTAAGCCTATGGAAGAACCAACCAACACCTTGATGTCAGTCCAGCCGCCACACGATCTTCCCTGCTTTGGTTGGGCCCAATGAAACTCCGAATCGCGGACCGCGGTTCAGGTTACACTGTGGGCAACCTTTTTTGTTCTCCGACATTAAGACCTTCCAATGAGGCATTGCGAGCCTTGGAGAATGCTGTTTGAATCTCAAGTGACCTTTGGTGGGCATCAAGTGACTTGTTGGACATCAAGTCTTTCCGACGAAATTACCCTTTTGAGGTCGGCTTAAAGGGAAGCATTTTGGTCCGAATTCCCCGCATACCCACTCCCGTCTTCAAAGGGCTTCCACACTCCATCAACCTACAACCGGTCGGACGCACGTTTCGCAGTCATACCTGAACTATTGGGTTGCCACGGTTGAAGGAAACATACACCAGCATAGACCCTAGAGGGGAATAACAAAAACAACGAGCCTCCTTTTGGTTTCCCTGAAAGCCCAAGGAACCTCTGGCCGTTAAGCCCACATTTGGCCCATGAGCCCCGGGCCACGCATCGCAACATTGAGCCGAACTTCGTCTCAACCTGCGACAGTCAGCCCATTCGGGTGTCTCGTGTTTTGTGTTTTTTTTCTTTTTCAGGAGGGGGTATCTGCTTTTTCGGCGGTCAAGGAAAACCAAGCCAAACCGCCGTGTTGAAGCTAATGTTGTTTCAAGACACATTCATCTGTCTGTCTTAACCATTGGGTCGTTCAAAAAAAATGAGGGGATCCCTGATTCGGCAACAGGATTAATTCAGGATTGGCTTTTGGACAACCCAGCATAATATTACGCGTTCTCGAAATGGCAAAACATGCCTACGCAAACCCTGCATGCGCAGGAGTTTCTTGAACAGCCTACATGGGTCTGCCTACGCAATCCTTCTCGCCGCCAGATTTGCCATAACAAAGAGTTCCCCCCGAATACTGAACGAATACATGGACAAAAACAACTCTGCTCCGTAGTTGAGGGGCCGGGCCAATCTGCCATCAACTGAATGGCAACAATGGCCCCGATGGTGTAACCTCGCCAGCGATTTGTTTTTACTCTTTGCAACTGGAATGACCCAACCTGGCTTCAGGTTCACCAAGTAGCCTTCTGACTGCAAGTCGGGCCCGTCATTTTGACGCACCTATGTGCTCCGTTTGGAAGCCTGCGGAAGGGGCCCACAAGCCCTTCCCCCACAAGGAGATTGGGAGATTCCGATTGGAATCCTCGGCCTTTTTGACTCCTTCCTATTGGAAACCACTGTGCCGGCAACCAGTTTGCCCCACAATTCTCTCCTTGCATCACCGTAGGGAAATATGAGATCAGCTTCACATTCATCCGGGGGATAGTCACAAGGCCTCCCATTTATATGGTCTGGAAAAACCGAAGCTGACAGTGGAAACGCGGAAAAAAATACTTTCATCGCACCCGATGCGTGAAACAGACGGGCCAACCCGCGGGCCGCAAACCGGCTATGGGGGATTGCCCGACCAAAAAAAAATGTTAAAAATGGAGGTGCGCAGACTCTTCCAAACGAAATAAAGTGGCTTTGCAATGGGAGTCTGCGCACTCCCACGTTTGTTGGTGGGAGGGTACCTTCAAAATCCACAAGGCCCAAACCAGCTTTTGCAGCTCTTGGGCAAAGGACCAAAAAGAAAGTAGCATTGCATTATGGCGTTGTAGCCGCTTCAACGGAGGTCGAAGCAGCTCTTGAGAGCCAAGCACAAGCCTTCCAGTTGACCAACTTGACCCGCCATCAAGCTTGTCACAAGCGTCGGTTTGGGAAATTCTCCAGTGAATCAATGCTTTGTTTGGCTCACCGCTGCTCACAAAAAGAATGCGGCTTTCCTGGAAAAAACCTATCTGAAATGAGAAGGGCGTGAATTTGTTGCTGTCACTGAGCTGCGAGACCGCGAGAAAATGACTGATCATGGCCTGATACTACATAGAGCTTCCTGCGGCGTACAAAGCTGAAGTCTGCAAACAAACAGGAAAAGTCCGGCCGTCTTTTGACCGGAATGAATCTCCCAGGGGGGGGGATCATTTCTCACAGACCCCACATAAGCCATTCAACACACATGCTAGTTCCAGAGGACACGTCAACCGCAAAATTTTGGTTGAACTCCTTAGGAAAGAACCCTGGGAAGCAGCCTGAAAATAGGAGTGCAACTTGTTCGCTTCCCCGAAAGTGAAATAGTTGTTTTTTCTTGGGAAGCTTAGAGCCCTTTTAGAGGGCTGCCCCATCACTTGCGACATGCCCATGTTCTCGCTTCCGACCTGCGAATCACTTGCGACCTCCTCCATCACTTGCAACCTAAAATCACTTGCGACCTGCCCACGTTCTCACTCCACGACCAGTAGGGTGATAGGGGTGGGGGGGGGCATGATAAGCAGCTCAACTGCTTCAGCCCAATCTTCTCTTTACCGGGGGGGGGGGGTTGATAAGCACACCCGCTCAACTGCTTCAGCCCAGTGGGGCATGACGATCAACTGCTTCAGCCCAGCCTTTTGTTTAAAACCAGAGGGGAGGGCATGATAAGCACACCCGCTCAACTGCTTCAATTCTCTATAACGTGGGGGGAGGGATGGATGGGGGGGGGGGGGGGATACGTGAGTGTTGCCAAGGTCCGTGGGCGCGTGCGTGTGGGCGCATGGATGCATGTGTGAACACGTGCGTGCGTGGGCACGTGCGTCAGTGGCGAAAGGAAAAGCAGGTCACAAGCGCAACGCAGGTCACAAGCGACAAGAAAAAGGCAGGTCACAAGCGACGCACCGCCCAGTTTAGAGCCATCCCCCCCGTGGCCTAGAAGGACCAAAGACTATTGGATATGCGACCAAAGTATGGGTCACGTTGCCATACGTCCCGCAGGAACCTGTACAATGGTTGTCCTGGTGCAACGTTCCCCCCGCCCCCTCTCTACCCCCCTTCTAACCCCGCCCGATCTAATGTGCCGGTCAGTGATGCTTGTCTAACTTCCCCGTCGAAGGATTGATGACCATCCCGACGGGTTGTCCCGAAAAAAGTACAATTAAAACAACCACAAACTATGTGCTTTCCTTGGTCCCACTCCTTGAACACATCCTGGGGTTGAAAAAGACACTGCGCAAGCGCGCTGTTCACACCACATCCTTTACCGCAATGGTGTTTGCTTCACCCATGTTGACAGTGGTAACCGGTTCCTTGGTCATGAGACTGCAGGTCTTTTTGCTCGAACTGCTTCCCCCTTTTGAGGAGGCAGGTACCGGCCACTAGGCCTATGTACAAGTGGCTTTCTTCAAGCCCGACGAAGCGGCGAAAACTCGCTCAGCGTACGAATAGATTGATGAAGTCCTCGCAATGCGCACGAAAAGCTCGAATCCTTCGTGAGCACAGTCAGGGCCAAAACCTGGTATTAAAGGGCGGATATCCACACCCATTAATGGGTGGGACTGGGACGGTCTGCTACCCTCCAATTGCCCGGATTTTGATTCTGGTTCACATAAGCCAAGCTCCATGGCAGGATACTGCAAAATCACAATATTCGACATGGCCCAAATGTACCCTTTAAACTTTAAACCCTGGCCAACAACCATCTTCTCTTCTGGAACTCAGATGCTCCCCCCCTTACCCACAATCATCGTTTGCTTCGACCACCAATTTTAGTTCATCCCAACCCTGCGGCAAACAACCCGCCTTTAGTTTCCGCTTCCCCGTTAACAAAGTTGGTCAGTCTTTTTCGGCCTCAGGCAGCTTTTCTTGCGGAAGCTGCCAAAAAAAGAACGGGACTGGCGAATAGTTCCCCATGTCCTTTCAGGGTTTCCGCACGTTTTGACCGCGGCTCATTTCAGGGGTTTGACGGCCCTACCAAGGCCGTTTCCAGGTATGGCCTTGGATGTATGCTTATACACTACCAATATGTAGCATAAGCCAGTAAAGCAGCATGTACCTCTTTTGTAAGTTGTATAAAACCTCCATACCTCCAAAACCTTCCATTTGGTTGAGACCCCAGGAGAAAGAAAAAAGAACGGTAGTGATAGATTCCCTTTAAAACGAACAGGGAGAAATTAAATGTGTATATATATATATATATATATTGGAAGTAACCCTTCCCAGTAAAGTCCCTCAGCGTGCCTGAAAGGTCCCTCCCGTCTGCGCGCCTGGTCCATCATCATCTGCTTCACGGTGGCGTGTCGCAGGTGGCAGGTGTACCTCGAGGCTCTGTCTTCTGCGGGGTTTGTTTGTGGGTTCCATCATCCACTTAGAGACCCACTAGACTCGAACCGGCCCATGTGTGTGTGTGTGTGTGTGTTCGCTTGTTTGTGCCATTCCACAATTCGGGCCTTCCCTTCCACAGTGGATATGGGCCATTTTGTCCGCGTGCTGGGCTGGATCCAGGAAAGTGAGCAGTTCTCAAACTGTTTTTGGGACCTGCCGGGAAACCCGATTCAATGCCAAATGTGGATGTCGTACAGTACTCAAATTGGCCCAGATTGTGGCCAGAAAGCGAGTTCGAAAAGGGCTCCGACAATGGGGAGGTGGTCTTTCCGTTTCAGAGGGCGTCCATGTCTCCATTTTTGCGCCACTTTTTTAGTTTGTTCTGTTTGGCTTGGAAATGCGTATGGTTGATTTGCAAGTCTTCCAAAAGTTCCAACCAATCTTTGGGTGCTGTGGAAACTCCAGTCCGTCTTTGGGTGGGAAATGGAAATTCCTGGAGGTGTTGCAAAAACATGGCGTCGACTGATTTGTTTCGGGTGGGACACGATTGCAGAAGTTGGCCCGCTCTTTCTTGCGTGTTCTTGCAAGGGAATAGGGGAATGATGCTCTTTCATTCCTTGCAGCGAATAGTTGGCTCGGTTCTTGCCCTGAGCGTAAGTCACTTCATTAATGGGAAAGAGCGTACCCTTTTTGTGGCTGGTCGAATGGAGAGCCTAGTAGGGAAACCATCAAAAGTTGACGGTCGCTCCCATGACGAACGCCGATCAGCTGACTCAAAGTAGATGTCCAAGAATGGAGAATGTTGAAATCGGTGGCTGCCTTTTGGCCTCCCTTTTGATACGGGTGCGGATTTGTTTTGTTTTTTTTCCCGTTTTTTATTTTTTTGTTTTTTGCGTTTTTCGTCCGGGCCAGTAAAATGTCGTATTTTACAGCATTTTCTCGCGAAAATGACGCATTTTACACTAGCCCGTCAACATCCCCAGCATCGTTTTCAACATCCCCCGCATGTCCAACCAACCTAGCATCACCAACAAATCGTGGGTAACAAAATCCAAAAATTAGCTGGCGGGTTGAATGGGTCAAAAAAATAATGATTCAAACAAGAGGGCAGTTCAATCCCAGTTTTTTGTTTTTTTTAAACGGGGGGGTTGGGGGGGGGCGGCAGCCCCCCCCCATGATGGTCGCAGAAGTGATGATTCGAATAGGGGTGCAATTAAATCTCTGCAAAAGTCTAAAAACTTCGAAGAATTGATGACTAGGGGTGCAATTAAATCTCTGTAGAAAATCTAAAACGTAGCGGGGGGGTGGCTTCCCCTGTGATGTTCGAAGAAATGCATACATACAGACATACATGGATTACGCAGATTACCTAAAATGTCGTATTTTGCAGCAGTTTCTCGCGAAATTGGATGCTCGAAAAAGTGATGATTTAAACAGGAGTGCAATTCAATCTCTGCAAGAAATCTAAAAAGTAACGGGGGGAGGTGGCAACCCCCCCCCATGATGCTTGAAGAAGAGTTGATTCAAATAGGGGTGCAATTACTCTGCAAACAATCTAAACAGTAGCGGGTGGGTTGGGAAGGGGAGTCCCCCCAGTGATGTCCGAAGAAGTGATGATTCAAATAGGGTGGTGGTGATGCTGATGATGCGGGAAGCCAAATCCAAAAACCAATGAAAGGGTGCAAAAGCCAAACGCCAAAAGCCGCCAAAAGCCGCCAAAAGCCGCCAAAAGCCGCCAAAAGCCGCCAAAAGCCGCCAAAAGCCGCCAAAAGCCGCATAAACCAGCGAAAAGCCGCAAAAGCCAAAACGCCACCTGCCAAAGAGGAACTGGGAATGCAGAGGATGCGAAAAGCCAAAAAGCAGCATAAACCAGCAAAAAGCCCAGAAGCCGAGAAGCCGAGAAGCCGAGAAGCCAAGAAGCCGAAAAGCCAAGAAGCCAAAAAGCCAAGAAGCCAAGAAGCCAAGAAGCCAAGAAGCCAAGAAGCCAAGAAGCCAAGAAGCCAAAACGGAAAAAACTCCCAAAAAAAACGGGGGAAAAAACACACACACTAAAATAAATACCCCTCCTTTTGATACCAACCACACTTGGGCTTCCCAAATGGGTTTTGTCTCAAATTAGGGGAAGCTTCAAAATTGTTGTGGCCTTTGATGCGCATCTGGGGTACTCCAAACATAACATTGTCAGACCCCTATGATGGTTATTGGAAGAGCTTCTCAAAGACCATTCGGGGGGTTGGGTGTCCTAGGCTCTCCTTGCACCCGCACAAACCGGGGTCACCAGACTTGCAAGCGCCGGACCAGCAGGTCGTTCCTCACTCGCCGGGAAAGAAGGAAACAACAAACTGGGTGCACGCAAATCTCTTTGCAGGTTTGCACGTGGATTGTTTTGTGGTGAAATAGATAACTCTTCATCTGCGCGTCCCCAAACCTTGGCACATTGCAATCATTCCCAAGCCGGAACTTGGAGAGAGCCCCCAAAGGACCATAGAAAGAGTTTAATTTTATCTGGTGAGCGAGTAGGAAGTAGCGGAAACCCAGTATCACGAAGCACCGTTCTACTCAAAATGTCTGTCACCTGAGTCCGCAAGAAAAGAACAACATCAGAGCCCAAGGAGTTTTCCAACTTGGACTCGGTTCCAAATAAATAAATATATGTATATATATATATATATACATCTATAAACTGTTGTTTCGAGGCTATGCAGGCAAGCCTGCTCAGGCCTGCTCAAAACTTCAGAGGCACTGGTCGAAATGGGGATGTGTCAGAAGGGGACCCAACAAATTGTGCTGTTCCATTTGGTTTACCTTCAAATCACCCCGAAAGGGCGCCCCCCAACCCAGGATTGAGTCACACTTCCTTTGCCTGCTAGTCTTGTCTAAGGTGTTGGGGATGTAATTGATGGGAAGTGATGCCACATCCCCGTGGAATGGCCAACCAACAAACGAAGAAACAAACGAACAAACAAGGAAAGAAGCAAGCAAGCAAACAAGCAAACAAGCTCAGAAATGAATATCATCAAATATTTGCGGGGTCCTAGGGTCTCTCTTGATTCCCTTCTTGCAACGAACTGCTGCCTATCCAAACACTGCACACGAGGTTGCAGTAGAATTCTGCAAAGCTCGTATTCTTTTGACAAACCCAGGCACCCAGGCATCCAACCATATTCGTACAAACCCAACCTGACAGTTGCCCAAACTCACTGTACAAGTTTGAGGTTCAACTGTCAGGTTGGGCGCGCCGATTCTCAACCACCTAGTTCCCAAACAACCCTCCAAGGGGGCAGTAAAACGTTAGCCGGAGGAGGCTAAAGCCCTGTGGTTGATCTTTCAAGGGGTGAATGCAAGAAGCGTAAATCTAATACCTCCAAAAGTGTTCCTTGAAAGCAAAACAAAGACACGCCCACATCCCAGACCCCCCCAGTGGCCAGAGGCAAAAAGGGCACTCTGTTTTTGGTCGTTGAATTCAAATGGAAACCCTCCAAAAAAATGGCAACAGGGCACCATGCGCGGTCTGGGATATGCCGACAGCCTGACCAGAATAAAACCGGCCCTCGCTCTCAGAAAACCGACCGCCAGGCGAGCCGCCAAAGAGGCCCCAGGTATCCGTTGGACCACTCCCCAGCCTCAGATCGGTTCGCTTCGCAACTTCCAAGTCATCCCCGCTAGGGAAACATCGAAACTATGGTTTTAGTGGAACCCAATAAAGGGGGGCCATTCCTAGATTCCCCAAGCAAGTCATTCCAGAGGAATCTTAGAAGTAACGAGAGAATTCAACTAAAATCGGCGACCAAAACAACGCCACCAGCTCGGAAACCTCCCCGGACTCTTCCTGGAACTCTTGCCTCAGATGCCCCAAGCCTATTGTCAGATTCACCCCGAATCGCGCGATTACGGGGCCCTCTCGGCCTGTGGAACCCTTCAACAGGCAGTTTATATGAAGGCAACACAAGCACACCGGTGTGAACAAATTACCAAAAGCAAAAACCATGCAGTATAGGACATCTGTGAGACCTTCTGGGATAAGTTCGGCGTACCTCCAAGACAAATCCTACACGTTTATGGAAATATATGTAGCCGTATATATTTCTCCCATGAGGCGAGAACTGGGACCCACTCAAAAACCGATACCCAACCTGCAAAAGCGATAGGAAACGCGCCCAACACCGGCACTCTGGCATATCCCAACCTCCGGTGGGCTTCCATGGGAAGAAGGCAACCCTTTTCTGGTTGGTTTCAAAGGGTTGACCCCCCAAAAAAATAAAGCAACTCGCAAGTGCAATAGCCCGTCCTTTTTTGGCCCGAAACCAGGTCCATTTTCTCCTGGTTGTAGAAAAAAATGCCAGTGCAGGCCAGCCCTATGACGTTCCCATTTGAAACAAGGTCCAGTTAGTATCACAGGAAGCGGCAACCTGAAACCAAGTATTCTCCAAAACCTTGCTTCTTGGGTTCACAGGGAAACAATGTGTACCAAGTCCACACCCTCATTTCAAAAAAGAACAAACGCATATCCTGGGAGTAAAGGGGTCGAGGGAGCGGCGTAGGTGCGTACCATGCAGGTCACCAAAACCTGGCGAAATGCTCGGCCCTTCGGGCCTTCTGGTTCACAACATGGGGTTTGCCTGCAAAAATGGGTGTCTTTTTGGTTTTCCCTTTCAAGCCCAAAAGAGTGTTCCTCAAAAGACACGAATAAAAAGGAGAGAAGTTGGAAAGCTACTCCACCCTTTGTGGGGCGAGGATGTGATTTGGGCAAGGTTCAGGAAATGGTTCAAAAATCACTGCGGCAGACGTCAAAAATGAGATGTGAAATGGATTTGCTTTGGACGCCAGGTCGACCATGGACGACTGGGTCAGCTTGTTTGTTGGTTTGTTTGTTTGCCTGTTTGGTTGGTTGGTTGGTTGGAATTTAAACCGTTCAAGCCTAGTGCAGCTGGAACCCTCCAGAAACCTGCCCCAGCCCCCCTCTCTGCTGGGGATCAGTGACCTCTGGTAACAGATCCTGCGCGTTTGGCACAGAACCGCCCTTCAGAATGTCGTCGCATATGTCTGCCATTGCAGGGCGAACGTAGACACCAAAATTTCTTTCTGTGGGTAGGTGAAGAGGATGACCAAGCCAAAAAGGGTGGAATTGGGCCAAGCCTGTCATACCAAGAGTCTTTACCTGTACTTTCACATGGGAAATTCCTTCTAGAAAGCCGCACTGGAAGAAGGCCTTCACTTCCCAATCCTTGGCATGTCCAACAACCAATTCTTGCAGCCATCAAATGAGAATCCAACGGAACCAAACAAGCAAAAAACTTAACAAAGGAAATCAATGCAAAAAAACAGTCTTGAGGGGAAAATACGTGACTAAAACAACCGGCCAGCTTTCAAAGACCTCGAAGCTACGCACCGTCGCTGCGTCTTTTAGGTCGCTAAGGCAAAAAGGAAACCGTGGTCATTTTTGGGGGCAAGGATTCCATATTTTGGGACACACCCAAACCTATAAACATCGCCGCTAGGGAAACTCACCTTAAATTGAACCACAACAGGAGAACTATAGCCCTGGATACACTGGTGCACCTCGAAAAGTAATCCACCACCCCAATCCAGGCACTGTTGTTGCAGCAAGGTCTGACAGCGACAAAGTCACCTTTCTTTCAACACGGTAGTTTGAAAGGGCTCACGGCTTCCAGGGACAAACCTGTGAGCAACAGCAATGGCATGTGCGACACATGGTCACGGAAAATCACCTGGTCTGTGAAACCAACATGAGTACTTCCCATGACTATGTCATCTTGTTAAAGGAGATCCCCTTGGTATCACCGCAAGCCCTGAGACTCTAGTCTCCACAAGCATAGGTCCGGCACACCGCCTTGAGATGCAGGATACTCTTTCAAAAGCAAGGAAAGGGAGGCTTAGGCTAGAGGAGGCTTGGGAAAGGGAAAGTTCAGAGTTGAAAAGGTGATGTGCCACGGAACCATCAACCCGGTGGACGGAAGGTGGTGACCTCATTTGAACTTGCGAGGTGACTTGGTTCCCACAGTCGAATCTGTCTGTGGAGTTCCGGTTTCCATCCGTACGGCGGGCTTCGCGGGCTTCGCGGGTCGCCTGAATGCCCATGACCGACATGAAGGAGTTCGTGCCCACCACCAGTGCACGGCCTTCGTTCGAAACGGGACCGAAACGGGACCCCAAAAAGCCGGGCCTAACAACGACGCACCCATATGGGGGCTGATCAACCCCCATACGGGGCCTGGTCGCCTGTGTCCTCAACCCCATTGCTCTGGTAACTTTCATGGCAACGCCGAAAGTGTAGATCAATGAGTTTTGGGTCTTCTCCCAGTGTCTGTGTGTTTTGGGATCCTACACATCTACAAACGGGTTGTAGCCCTGGATTTAACGACACCTCACCCCAGCTCCCAAGTTATCACCATAGTGATAGCCCTAATTAGGAGAAGTGAAGGAGAAAGGCCTTATTAAACATCATGTTTAGAGGAAAACTCGCTTTAAGTGATGCCCTTGTTGGGTTCCTTCTCTTAATTTGCTTGTGGCTGCGACTTGGGTGGAGTACCATCCTTGGGCCCCCCCGCCGAAGCGGCTCTCCGGGTCAAAGCCCAGGCTGCCGATCCAGAGCCGCGACTGGAGACGGCCGTGCAGCCAACACGTGGCTTCCTTCTAATCAGTTGGCTTGGCTTGCTGGCTTGGAGAAGACCATGGTTTCCCATTTCCCCCACCAAAATACCAAAATCGGAGAATGATCCACAGGTTTCGCAGGGTTCTCGAAGGGTTTGTTAAAACTTGGGAACCAATGCAAATCCAAGGAATGCATCATGGAAGCTGACGATCAGAGGGGGTTAGAAGACGAAAGCTTTCCTTGAAGGGAAGCCCCTGTCCGCTCCATGCTTGTTTGGAAAGGTAAAAGGATTGATTCAAACGCAACGCCTTCACTTTGGCTTCCATTTCAAAAGGGGGCCGACAACCATTTTGGGAAACGCCACAAGGGCAGCCATGGGAAGGTGGCCCCGAGAAACGTCACTACGATATGGGGCACTGTGGATGGCCAAAATCCCACGCCAGGCGCCGACTTTTGAATTCTGGTTGCAGAGGGTCTTGTCCATCAGGGAATCACTTGAGGGGTTTGGGGAAGCAAGAGAATCTCCCAAGAAACCACAAGGGAAGGCTCAGAGGGGTTCCCTGTCTTGGTTTAATCTCAGGCTACAAATCATATCTAAGACTGCTATACGTGGTCAACCTTGAAACAGCTAATATTGAGGAGACTCAAGCGAAGTCCATGGCTAATCCATTGCTTTTTGCAGGTTCTTCAAGGAAACCCGGTGTTTAACGGAGAAAAGCCCGAATCCGCATGGAGCCTACCAGGCATCACATGTGATTCCAAGCCCACACAACACAACCGCGAACCACTCACAAAAACAGGCTGGTCAAGGCCCTTGTGTTCAAAACGATGGCTCAAACCAACTCCTTTGGCTTTGGGTTTCCATAACACAAGGCACCCCCCGCAACGCTACCACACACATGCTGCAAACAACCCTGGGTAATACTCGGATTCAAGAGAATGGGCTCACCTTTCTCAATTGGTCTTGGAGCCAGAGGGGATGGCTGAAGGGAAACCTTGTGGGCCCACGAAAAGGGGGTCAGGATGGACGAAAACTGCCTGTCCATTTTGGGGCTGTCAAACTTTGGGCTTCTTGCTGCACTATTGGTGCTGTCCCTATCGCTTACTTCAAGGCTTAAAAAGCAAACTTCCAGTGTCCACGTGCGGTTTGACCAAAGTCCAAGCGCGCCTTCACCAAGCCGGCGGCCACTACCCAGAAGATCCTGACAAGCACAAGCACCATCCCAACATGGTTTGCACAGGCAAACCATGTGGACTATGCTCCCTCCGTGGTTGCAAACACGAAACCGAACACTTGCTTAGCGCTACAGTGGCCCAAAAAGTCCAGCACCTTGAGAAGCCCATCGGCCCATCGGCCGATATCTAGGACCCGATAGACCCAGCAAAAGAACCTTCCTCACCTTTGAGCTGTTGGCCCTCCACAAGTTGTTCAAACGTCAGGCAGGTGACTATTCTTGGTTTCCTCTGCAAATTATCCAAAAAAGAGCAGAATTTGGGACACCCGCAAATGGAGCGATTCACACTGAAAACCATACCAAGAAGTATTCGGTGTTCACACACAGCCACCCCAAGTCTCTTCAAGGTGGTGCAAATGGACTCTTCCTTTCCTGGTCTTCCACTGGTTGAACGGTCTTAAACTGGTAGGCCTTTCCAATGACGAACTCACTGAAAAAGGGGTAGTTCCCTTGTACGAAGGGGGTGTCCCACTCAAAGGAGAGGGAAACACAGTTTTGTCAACAACGGGGGAACCCGGGACCTTAAAAGGAACGAACCCCTCCGTGACTGCGACCTCTCCCTTAACCTTGGGGCTAGCGCGGTGCAACGCGCTGTTTTCAGCACTTGAGCCAAAGCAGTGATTGGAACATGCTTTGGCAACCACTTGAATGTACAACATGCAACTGACTACATGAGAACCTACCTCATGTACCTCTGGGCCATAAATGTCATCGTGATAATTGACTCCCCCCTCATTGACGGCACTGAGGGAGTGTCTTGGGCGCATTACCACGCCAACTTGAAGTCAAGTTTACATCACAACGACTGACACAAGTTATTCAAGCATCACCCAGGCACTTTGCACACTTTGGAAATTTTGCAGGCATGCTGCAGCGCACTAGGCAGCTGCTTTAGCGGCTCTACTTTCACGAACGTCTTCAAGCTTCTCTGGTAGGTCAACACGAATGCCGAGCAACCGGATGGCATGGTCCCACTTGTTGGGTGGAAGCGCTTTCGTGAAGATGTCCGCTGACTGCATGTCGGTTTGGACGTATTCTATCGAGATGTGTTCGCTTTCAAGCTGCTCTGCGATGCACGCGAGATTCACCTTGTGTGTTCGCTGGACACAGCGTAGCTTGGATGAGAATCCTTTCTTTGCTACGAGGATAGTCGCCTGGTTGTCCTCGTGGATCTTGAGATGGAATGGTCGGTCCAAGATCAGCTCCCACAAGCTTAGCGCAGGGAGCGCTTCCTGATAAAGGGAGTATGCGAGAGATACAATCTCCGCCTCGGTCGTTGATCGAGAGACCGATGTCTGCCTTTTGGATACCCACGCAAGCGGAAAATGCGTGTGCGGACCACTCAAAATCAAGAATCCTCCGGACGTGGATTTTGCATCTCGCTCTCCGGCGAAATCGGCGTCTACATAAAGAGACAGATGCAAATCCTCAGTCGAATCTTGAACTGTGCCTACTAGCGTGCTGTTGGCCGTGCTGTTTATGTAGCAAACAAGCCTATGTAGCTGCTTATCGCAGTTTCTAGACCATTTTTGAACAAATGAGGCAAGGTCGCCAATGGGCTTGACCAGGTCTGGGCGTGCCAAGCGGCCGAGCCATAAGGCTTTCATCAACACGCGGCAAGCGGCGAATCCGAGCTCACCCTCTAAGGCGTCATCTGCAGGATCGAGGGATCCAGCGGGACAGAATGGAGTGGTGGCATCACGCAACTTTTCACTTTTCAGCTGTGCAACCTCAAGATATAATGCTACCGTTTGACGGGCATAATCCCGCATGTCGAACGCCATGCCCCCTTTCAATCTGCCCATTGCGGCATTAAGATCGGGTTCAGTTGGGTCCTTTGGAGCATCTATCAAAAGGTGATTCCTGCCTAGCACCCGGTATATGTCTTCTGGGGGTTCTATATCAACCAGTCTTGTTAACTTTTCCCAGAAGTCTTTATGAAGGTGGCTGGGGCCGGCCAACGTCAAGTCGTCGACGTATGTCGAGAGAAGTAACCCGGACTCCTTGAACCAGAAGTTTCCAGGAAACTCTGCGACCTCACGCCCTCCAAGTTCACTAATGAACCTTTGAGGTGTGCCTCCCAGAGTCCGCCAGCGTCAGGATGCCCATAAAGAGCTTTAACGAGCAAAACCACAGGTTTCACGAAACGCTCGCGCCACCACCTTGGCCGGAGCTCAGGCGGGAGTGTGATCCAAGTTTGGTACTTGGACTTCAGCAGTGCTTGCACATAAGCCTTTATAGCGTCCGCTGTTGTGGTGGAATTCCCTGGCAGGGATCCATAAGCGAGACAGTTATTAAGACCTTGTACGCTCGTGGGATTTGCTCCCAACTCTTGGTATACAGCTGCTGCGCCATGTTCGTCTTTCGCACAGTCTCCGCGATACACAATCCTACCTTTCATCTTCTGAAGGTGTTTCGCGAGTTCGGCGAACTTGACGGATGCTAGCGACATCAACTGTCCGAAATGGACTTTTATACTGGATCGTCGCGCCTCAGCAGCGACTTGATCGTACTCTCGGACTGAATTTAGATCCCAGGCACCGGCTTTCTCCAGGCCTGTGGCTTCAAGTCGAACGGCTTCAAGAGCTTCCGGGGAAGCCAACATTTCGGCACGTGACAAGAGTCTGGTCACCATTGCGGTGATCTCAGGATCCTTCTTCTCTGTGACTTGTCCTAGGGAATGTGCGATGAGATTTTCAACATCAAGAACTTGCTCAAGAATGTTGTGACACTTTTCATCTGACTCAACAGCAACACCTATATCTTCCAAACCAGAGAGAGGGGATATGTGCTTCAACTGCTGTTCACGTTCCCGGTGATCGAGAGGCAATGGCACTTGGACAGGCATCGCAGGCACAACGGGTTGAACTGTTGGATACAGCGCACGGGCAACTGTGAGACACATGCCTTCGGGGTAGAAAGCGGTCTTTGCGGTCTTGTTACCTGCTGCAAGCGAATGTTTATACCCTTTTTCGTGCGGACACTTGAATGCACCTAGTGCGGATGCGAGTGTGCTATTGCTGGTCATGACTTTCCATGGCTTCTTGATGGGATAGCCATTGCTGTCCTTCAGGCCTAGGGCGCAACCATGGAAGGTCGCTGGGGTGAAGACGTGTGCATATTCTCTAAAGAATGCGGAAACATCATCCCTAGCCCAGCTGTCGCAATCCCTTGGCCACTCAAACGAAACACTACCCCCCTGATGGAGGACAGTCTCTGCGTGACGTCTGAATCTGGAGAACAACTCTCTCGACTCTCTAACTTTTTGCTTCAGTTTCTTTTTGAACTGGCTTCCTAACTTGGCCTTATTAAGGCGTTGCCATGCTGAACCTGATGTACAGGGGATTGCGGCCCAGAGGTTGGGTTTATCACAACCTTCAATCTGCGACTGCAACTGGATTTCTCCTTCATCTGTGCTGAGGTCGATAAACTCTTTAGCCAGCCTAACATGAGGTATGCCAAGACCTTCAAACACGCGACCCATATTGGACTCTGGTGAACATGCGTATTCGAACATCACAGGCAACTTGTCAATACGCGCCTGTTTCTTGCGGGCACGATGATTTCCAACCTCAAACTGCTTGCGCTGTGGAGCTTCAACCTCTGCGCTGCATGGCATGCCGAAAATTGGCAATGTGTTCGGACGACCGTTCTTTGATGCATCGGTGAGAGGTGTCGGCGGTACGGAGTCTAACATCACGGCTGCACCTGTGGTGATAACACAATCGGACTGAATGGGTTTTAACTTGAACACTGTGAACCCGGTCCATGCATCTCCAAGTGAGCGATTGGGTCGGCTACCAAACCAACCATCATGGATGTTGTCTGCTTTGCCCCCCTGAAACACGGCACGAGTGGTGCGAGCTGCAGTAAATCTTTCTGGGGAAACGGGGCAATCCTCGACCTCTTTTGGGGTAAAGAGATTTTGCCTTGGCATGATATGGTATCGGACCAAACAGTTGGCATTTTCTTTGAACACCCAAAAATCTTCACCTTGCGATGTAGCGGCTGTCGCTGGCGCAGTATCGAAAAATGAGCCACCGGGTCTTGAGGGAGCGGGCTCCCCAGCTTCGGCTGCATCAAATTCATGCGCAACATCTTCTGCACTAACTGCGGGCTTAGGATCCTCTCCATGCTCGGATGCGTGGATTGCTCTAGCTAGCTCCTCATCCCCTTCAGTATGCACAATGGGAATGGGTTCCTTAGATTCAGTTTTGGCAGCGCTTTTCGCAGCTGCTTCAGCTCGATCTGCAGAGACAAGTTCGGAGAACCTCTTCTTGCATTCGACACTGTGAATCTTGGAATGACCGGTGCATGCACGGCAACCTGGCGTTTCCTTGAACTTGATGATCCTCTCAACAGTTATGTACACGGATTTTGGTTTGACAGCGGATGGAGTCGGTGGGGCACCGAAGGGCGCCTCTCGCAGGGGCATCGGTGGGGAATCAGACCCTTCTGTCTTGCCACCATGCAATGCTCTATCTGCTGCTGCTGCAATCGGAAAGCTTGGGGTTCCGTCCTCAACGAACAATTCCGGTTCAGGAACATCGTGAACGGAAATGGAACCATCTTTACGGAAGGCTTCATAGTCCATGACTTTGACCACATTACGGTACCGCAACCCCGGATCGACCCTCCAACCCAAAAAGAGCGCTGGCGCCATGTTCGGATCGAGAGTGCGCTTGCCAGGAGTCTTGGTTCTGTACCAAACTAATTGCCCGAAACAGCATCTCTTCCCTTGGAACTTTTCTTTGGTGAGGGCTTCCCATTGGGTTTTCCCTGGGCTGAATGGTGCAGGCCTGTCGAACGACATGGAGAGACATGCAAATGGGTAACTAAACGTATGCAACGAATAAGGCAACCCTGATTGCATGTGGATGCTGCGGCAGCATTCCTTCTCTTCGCGAATGTCGCGCTCCAGAACGGTGTTGTGTGGCCACCTGTTCGGTAAGCTTGTCTCGGGGACG